GCACCAAGAGCAACAGTAAGTATTTTTCAAGCAGAAGCTTTCACGCATAAAGTTTCATGATGTATCAGCATCATGAAAAAAGTTTTACTTGATAAAGCAATATAAGTACCCGCATAGTTTATTCACAAATCAAATCATCCTAAGCTAAAACCCAGAGAGATGAACCATGCAAACAATATTACTAAAGAGCAACTACAGTGGACATTACCATAAAAGTAAGGAACTTAAGATCTGCATTCTCCGTTCCAAACCCTCTCAGATCAAATATACCAAGTATATCTTGTTTACCAGGGGGAAGTCTGCTCAATGCCTTCTCAATTAGAAAGACACATAACTTCTCATCTTCATCAGGATCCTGCTTCTGTGGCACCAAATTTTAGTGTACACCATCAGAACTGCAGAACAGTATCTACAGGGGAAAAACTTTATTTCATAAGAAATCTCCAGCTTCCAACGTTCTATTGCTTTTCCACCCAAAATCACAAGTTTCGGAAAACAATTTCCTTCTCCTTAAAATTTAGTAGAGGGATAAGTTTTATATTTTCAATTAGTAAAACAGTGGAGGCATTTTGAAAAAAAAAGTACTTTAATAAATATAAAGGATCAGGTCTACCTAAGGTCAAAAGTTGAAAGTTTTCTTATAGCAAAAATCCACTCAAGCGTGAAATAACGAAGAGAAAGTACAAATGCATTTCGTTACATACATCACTAACACTTCCATTTCACTTGCTTTAGTTAAAAAAGTAAACCAAAATTTTCAAGTTTTTACTAAAACAATGAGATGTGGCATGTATGACTTAAGAAAGTCTGATCAGTCAAAAAGAGGTGGGTCCAAAGTTTGGTTCTCTGAATGAAAATCAAATGGCAAAAATACAGCCAAAGTTCTGTCCTTTTTTCTCTTAAGAAGATTTTTGAATAATCCTAGTATTCGTAAAAATCTAGCTTTAAGTAAGCTGTGTCACATTATTACCTGTGGAAAATGCTTTGATGCTTCCACTATCAGGACCGGTCTTCCATAGACATCAAAACAGTCATGCACATATGCTTTTCCGGTTTCAGCAACACTTTTAACTGACTCTTCTGACAAGTCTGATACACCAAATTCATGACGCCATCTCTGATAAGGTATGAAATACATCATTGTTAATATCCCTCCTTACTTTTGAAGCTTAGAGTAACTATTATAGCATGGCAATTATTCAATTCAGATGCAGCTTCTATGTAATTTCACGATAATTGAACTGAAGAATTGACACAGTGAAGCAAGCCAATTGACAGGCAAGAGGAATGGTATTCCTGTTCTTCTCATCACCATGAGGTAATGGAAAGTTTGTAGTAATCTTAGCAATCCAGTGTCCCATGTTTTATGATTGAGAAAACCTCCTGTAGCGTATAGTATGTATATCATTAGAAATTTCTAGTCGAGTACAGCTAAAGCCACTTCATGAGAATTGGATTTAAAATCTTTGACACAGTGAACAAGTCAACTGAAAGGCAGAGGAAGACTAAGTCCATTCTCTCCATCATCAGAAACCAGATGGAAGGAGGAAAGCAAATCAGAAAACAGTAAAAAGAAGAAGATAGCTGAGGCCTCATGGGCAGATATCATGCTCTGCGATATAATTTACTATAAGCTACATGAGGTTTTCCTTTCAATAATCAAGTTGTAGTATGGCAGTCAAGTTAACGTGATGATTCTAGTAAAATAAACGATAAATTTACAATGGCTTTATGCAGCTTAGAAACAGCATCTTCAACTGAGAATTTGCGATCCTCCAGGAACCATAAAATCATCTCCTCATCATCTCTTCCATTTCTTCCCAATGGGAGATCTGTGTATTCCCTTTCAAGTCTTTCCTTTACATCCAGCACTAACTGCAAAGTTGAAATGTGGCCCCATCAGATTCAGTCACAGCATTGTCTGTGTAAGAAGTGCATACATGGTCTCATGAGATGAACATAGCGAATAGAGCTTCTAGCATTTAACTAAGAGTTTTCAATGAAAAGAGGCTATCACATTCAGTAGATCATGATATGCATTTCCCTAATCTCGTTGAATTAGCTAATAGGGATCTGATAATGTTTCATGGAGTAGATTATTCATTTGAGAACATTTCTATACTTCAAATCAATTTTTATAAAATTTCAGGACATTGGTTGTCTTTAAAGAATTCAATTAAGCTTAGGGGAAGATAAGTTCCAAAACTACACTGTATCAAATGCTTTCGTAAACGTTAAACAACTGAAAATCATTGCATAGAAACTTTAGGGCCTAAGAGGCTGAGAATAAGATGAACAATGAAGGTTGAGAAACTTAAGCTTGTTGAAGAGCTCCTTCTAAGATGACATGTTTGTAGTTAGTACTCTTACCTTTGTAACATTGTGAAAGATGGTCTAAATTCTCTAGCACACTAACAATGTTGAATAGATAGTTAAGGTTCAAGTCGTTCACTCAAGAAAGCAAATAAAGGATCATCAAATTGTCTTCTTGAAGAGCTAAAGCAGATACCAAGCATAAAATCTAAGCAGTCAAACATCACTCCTATCTATTCAACAACTGAAAAACGCAAAGACATTGCTCTTCTAAAGGACTGTTGACGTGGGTGAGCTCTAAACTTCAAATAAAAAGAAGGGGTAGCCCGGCGCACAAAGCATCTCGCAGAGTCCGAGCAAGGGCCGCCCCCTTGGGTGTGATGTAGACCCTAATGCAAGCATTAGTGACTAATTACACGGCTCGAATCCGTGACCTATAAGTCACATGGAGACAACTTTAACGTTGCTCCAAGACTCTCCTTCAAGCTCTAAACTTCAAATAATAAGACAAAAACTGCTTGACAAAAACCGTTATTAAGTTAAAAAAGAAACTTGATTACTTCTCCACCGGAAAATTAACAAACAGATTGCAGCAATTAAAAAGCGAGCACCTTTTGGGATTTCTGAGGGTCCATTATAACACAATTCCGAATACATAACCTGGAAAATCCATTGGGCTTATTAGGAACAATCGGAGTAGCTTTGACAAGACGGCCACTCACTGGAGGTCTAAGAACTAACTGGATTACCATTCTGATGTTCTCTTCAAATTCCCAATTCTTCTCCGCTACTCATATGCCAGCTTATATGTACATAGAAATCTCGGGCAAATTGGGTGACTTTTTCTTTTAGAATGTTAGATACAGAGAACAGTGGGAGAAGAATATAGAAATTGAGGTAAAACACAAGTAGAAAAATAGGTTTCGTGTACGTTATGTCGTTATATGTATGGTGGCGGGTAAGGTGCCACCTGTTCTGGCTCACCCATCTAACCAATGTTATTTTACTTTTTCTTCCACTCTAGTATTTATTTTTTTTAAATTCAAAAAATGTAACTCATACACACTACGGGTGTGTTTGGATCCAGTTTTCTCATATTTGGTTGGCTTTAATGTTTTGGAAAATATTTTTCTCATGAACTCATTTTTCTCCAGTTTTCCTTGTCAAGAGAAGAGAAAATATTTTCTAAAACTCCTTCTCAACCTCCCTCACCCTCACCAACCCACCCCACCCCCCTCTCCAATTTTTTTTTTTTTTTTT